GGAGGGGCTAAAGCCAGGCTAAAATGTCAGGTGCATACCTGCGCGTCAGCCAGCTGCACAGCGGCAGGGCACTGGTTGCCTTCCTCAGCGTCGGCGGCCTCATCCTGGCTGCTGCTGTGCTGCGATGGTGTGCCGTCCAGCGTGTTCTGGTCGCTGGAGAGCACCGTGTTGAAGTCCGACGCCGACGGGATGGTGGGGAGATTGCATGTGACACCTGGATGGGGCGGGGCCAGAAAGGGTTACTGGGTTACCGGCAGCTACTATTGATAAGCACGCCACTCGTCCTATCAGTGCTCAGCCCGCCCACATGGCGCCCTGTGATTGGCAGCATGGAAGGATATCTGACCCTGCAGGAGCCTCAATTGGAGCATAGCAGATACTTTCACTTAAATCATTCAAGCCCAACTGGACATTAATAAACTGTGCAAGAAAGCCAGGGATAATATATATAACACAGCAGAGAAATGAGTCTGACAGCTCTTTCTGTATCAGCTCCCGGTTATAATTATAGACGAGCATTGCTGGCTCTGTGTTCCTGTTAATTAAAATCCCAGAAACATATTGATGGATCATTCATTAATTCAATGAAAGAGCAGAAACACTGACGATGACTTTCCATAAGAAGGAGGCTCCAGGTGGCCATAAATCAGACGGAACTGAGTAATGAAGCTTCCCCCGAGAGCAGGCACTGCGGCATCATGGGAAGCCGAACTGAGAGCAATGGGATGGCCAGTCAGTGGGAAGCTACAACCATCTACCCGTCTTCTGAGTGGCAAGCAAAGGTCGGCTTCATCACGAATTTCAACTGAACTAAATCTCTCGCTCCATGCCAGTTTACAGACAGGAACTATGAGCTGACCTAAGGAGTGCTCAGAGTAATCGTACCAAACTTGGCGTAATCTGAAGATTCTTCAGCAAGACTCGGCGAAGGCGTGCAGACCTGGAGGTTCAGAAACTTTACCTAAGCTGACCAGTTTCTTCACCTCGAACAATGAAATGCTTGATGAGGACGCAGCAAACCTCACAAACACAGATGACAGCCGCCCAAAGTGCCATTTTCAATGGGGTTACATAAACATGAAAAGCGTCCCTGAGTCTCTGCCCTGCAGGGCGTGACGCTCTCTGCCTCATGCCCAATGACTCGTGAGCATCTCCAGGCTACCCCTGTACTGGATAATCAGATAAGCAATACCGACATGTTTCAGCTTCAGCTTCTCCAGTCACGACTGCTAACGTGCACGGAATACACTCACCGGTGTGTGTGCTGTTGTGCTGCCACCTGGTGGCGGGTGAGTCCTGCGCGTGCCCTCCTCTGCTGCCCACAGCGTGAGACATCCAGTTGTAGAAGCTGACGGAGGAGGGCTCGGACAGCAGGGGGTGCTCTGTGAGCATATCTGAGCCCGCTGCATTACCTGCGGGGGGGG